CGAGTTCATAACAAACGCTGAACTCGCCCATTTGTTTGGAGATGTTCGGAGGATAAAGGCGGTTGAGAAGTCAGCTGAACCTATTTTATCCAAGGTATGGAAGTCCATTTCGTAGATCTATTATAAGTTCTTGACAAAGTACTGCTAATTGAGCCTCAAAGTTGATTTTGCTTATTCTGATTTCATTGTCTCCAGGCTTAATGCACAGCTTTAACACACAGATGTTTTTTTAATTAGGTTCCATTCAAATATCGAGTAGTTTCATCATATAAAGATTTTGCAGACACTTTTTAATATGGCGAATTGAACCACTAAAGGAAATGCCGTAATAACTACGAAATTACTTGGTTAAGCACAAATTTAACCAATTTATGGGTGCAATCGAGTTCTAAGGTCAATTTGTATAACTTCGAGATATAATATTCAGATTAAATAAATAAATAAATGCAGTTAACACATTGATGGATGTCTGATTTGGATTAGGAGAGTCTTAATTGGTTCACTGAAGCAGGTTTTCCCATCTCCATCCGCTTCTCTCGTATTCTCGAAGTGGCGGTTGTTTACTCAGACAGACAATCAGGTCTCTCCTTATTCGAACTCTGGGTCATAAATCTTCCCTTGTTCAGATTTTAAGTTATCAACCATAATTGTAAAACAAGGGAAGAGTTTCGTTCGTCAGCCAGGAATGGCTCGGCATTGGTTTTTATTGTTTTAATAGTTGCCGTTGGGCTAAGACGATTTAACCGGATTTAGTTCTTGGTGTATAAGAGATCAAACAGCCAGAGTGATGATTACTGGTATTGGAAAAACTGCGTTTAAGACAGGATAATCGGTTAGTTTAATTTCCTTCAGATCCTCTATAACTGAGTTGACACCCAAGATACATATTGGTTAACTCCTGTCAAAATGCCTATTGTATTTGTGCGTTCTTTTGGTTATCTATGTAAAGGCCTGAATTTTGGAGAGTGTATGATCAATTCGGAGAGTTTACTGTATCCATGACTGCAGCTCTGGTGTATTTCTACTGAAATGAGGTGTAACGTAGGGTAATAATTCCTGTGCATCGATAGCCAAAAAATCCGTTAGATGAATGAGAGTGGTATTAAAAAGTCCACAGCTTCAATCTTTGGTTTGTGTCCAGGTGAAAACATCGTTTGTCAGATGAATAGCGCCAATTTCAAATAGAGCTACTTTAATAATCATTGGTTTGATATTCGCTCTGTATGGGGAACCCCCCCCCCTCCCTCCCTCCTAACTCAGAATGATGACTATTGAGTTTGGCCGATTATGCATTGGACGATCAGAGAGGAAGGCTAAGTGAAGGGAAGATGGCTGGAGGGGAAATAGAGCTGGATTAAACTCCTAAACAGCATTCGCGAAAGTGGTGCCAGTTAATAAAGGGGCTGTCGTGTGTTTCCTCCTTTGAGTCACATTGTGGCTGATTCAGTTGAGACGACTTTGCGTCATTAAGATGAATCTCGAACGATTGTAAATCTAAGGATATTCTTTCAGGTTTATTAAGTCAAGTAACCAGTATACTTTAATATTTTAAAGGGGAAAGTGGCAGCATTAATCGATTTCTTCGAAAGTCTCGAGAAGGCGTGTGCGAGCAGTATGCCCACTCCGTGTCTGCGCACTTCGAATTCAACTCCTACTCCTGACCAACAGGACCTGGAGATGAAAGGTAGTAAACTGAAGCATCAGGTAAGCAAATTCACATATTTGCATTCGAACATCTAACTTTTGAAGTTGACTTTAGATGCTTTGTTTATTTAAAGATATACATTTATTTTAGAATTTCAATTTTGGAGCCTTAAAAGTTTAAATTTTCATTTCTCCCCTGTTAGTTAATATAAATAGAGGGTTAATTTGAGGTATATCATAAGCTCTTGCACTGTCAGGGCGCTTCAAAAGTCCCAAACAGAAAGATACAAGCAGATCATGTGCGATCATTGATTAGTTGAGTAGATACGTTAATTGCAAAAGTTAGCCTAAAATAATGGACATCAATTAGCTGGTAAAATGTTTCAGAAATTTCTTCTTGAAAGTGGAAGAGTAGATTTACCAGGAAGATTAGTAATGGGAATGAAATAAACTTGGCTCTCTATTGAAGTCACTAAACAGAAATCGTCTAGTTCCTTTGGGAGGTTTCAATTAATTAGAAAGTGAAATGAGACAATTGGTATGCATTTTAGGTGGATATGGGTTCAAGAGAAACGACCAGATTTTGTCATCGAACGGCAGGTGATCGATCCGCTATTACTGCAACTTCATCTCTCCAACATCTTGTGGCTTCTTGCAGTCAGTCTACAAACGCTGTTCAGCCTCACACGAGGTATGACAATACTCACTGAGCTTCTATTCCAGTCCACTTAAATATTTTCCAGTAACAACAACATTAGATAGCAATTTATTCCAGAGTAGGCACCCGTTTTCGAATCGAAGTGTTACTAATTTTGCTGTTACAAGCATATTCGTGAAGAACTGCTCTGTCTTCTTAGTTTCCCAATAAATAATAGATCGCTGTTTAACAAACTGACACTGACATGATTTTTTATGTAGATCGATGCCACATTTCAAAGTGGATATGGTTGCAAAGAAGACAATGGAACACAATAACGGATTTGGTGTCCTCCTGTTTGCTGCTCTCTGTTGTGTTTTGGTGAAATTTGTGCTCTTTTTCACCCCTATGGGTTAGTGTTATGAGCTCCAACCCCAGTCCCTCGATCTACTAAAACATGGACAGTCCCTCGTTTGCAGAACATACTCCCTCAGTCCTGACTCTATTGTTGGCTGTCTTCAAAAACACATCAATTGTAGTTGCTTGCATTGCTTCCCACTCCCAAGTGGTTGTGCAAAGAGGATTCCAACCTTCAACCCTCCCCTTCCCCTTCCCTACCACATGCACAAGTAAATTCTCCCCCATTCCTCCATTAATCCAAGATCCTCTTCCCTTGAAATGTAATGATGGATTTGGCTTACCATGTTTTATCTAATAAGTGACTGATTAGAGAATTAGACATCTGAATTAGACATTGTCTTTAACTTCTCTGCTTAAAGGGTTGGCGGTGAGGTGATTTGGTGAGAGAATTAGAAGACAAGACTGGTTCTATTTTGTGTCAAATTTGAAATTGTGTGATCTGACAAATGATCTTGTGAGTGCAAAGACTAACAAGGACACTTTAGACACACATATTGGCACAATTATTTCACCAAGACCCTTAATTCGTCTGGACAACAGAGCCTCCACCACTTTGGATGTAAGTGAGTTAGGTACAGGCAGATAAGCTCATTGGGTGACTAGGACTAGAACGAAGTTCCCTTGTAGCAAGATCGAGGTTGACACAATGGACTAACATGAGAGGAATCTGCACTGTTCCCTTTCAAGAACTTCCTGATGACATTCTGATTTGAGCCATTTCAGGAGTACTCATCGTTTATTACTCCGAATAGGGTAATGGGGAGTCATTTATTTCTGTTCATCTATGGGCACAAGAGATGCACGCTTGGTCTCTTGGGCCAACTGAAATTAGTCCAGATAACCATTTAGGACGAGGACTACTCAAAGGCAAGTGGATTAAGTTGGTAATTCCCCTATTGTCTTGACTGAATTCTTCTGGCTCTAATAGAGGAAGAAATTTCCTTCCTTCAATTCTATCTGATTTGAATTCGACCGAAAACTGTGACAGTCAAAGCTGCCAAATGTGTGTGGGTGGTTTCGGAAAGTAAAGCTGTACTCTTGCATTATTAACAAGGTCACTTACTATCAGACAAAATGATCATTACCTCACAGGTCTCTCTCTCCCACCCTCTCTCATCAATCTCCAGGACTATGCATCCAGTTGTCCAATTGGTGGAGAATTAGAAGTTCCAAAGCAATAAGGTCTATTCAGTGCCACTCCATATCTAAAGATTTATAAAAGTGGTAAAATAGCACAGGGCTGTTTAAATCTGATATGTGTATGAGGTTGTTTGCATGGATGGGAAAATGCACAATAAGCGAACTTCAAGGAGATCGGATCCAAGAGTGACTCCCACAACGTGATCTTGGATATTCCGACATTTTCGGTCGATTGAAGTAGATATCTCTGCTTGAGCTCCTTACGATTGTGGTACTTTCCAAATTATCCTTCAATGGTGTAAATTTATTAACTAAAATAATATTTAGACACCAGGGCACCCTGTGATGTGTCTACGTGTAGTGGAGAACTTATGGCTGATAACGTTCTACTAAACCCTACTATTCTCAGAATTCTCAACTACAGAGGAGTGCTAAAACCATTAATTCCACACAATAAGAATCTAATGTAGCTGTGAATGGAAGTCAGTTTATCTGATGAGGGGGTTTTTTGGTACCTGGATGTAACTACCAAATTTCTGCTCTATGGATTTAATTTTGATCTGATCTATTAATCGACCCAAACCAGTATCTAGGTCTGTCACCCTTTTTAAATTAGATCATTTCAAGCGAAATCTGGAGAAAGATTGACTTTGGAATTTCAATCTATTTCATGACTGAACATAACCAAGCCAGTTGATCGAACTTGGAATTTTGTTTCTCACTGTTCAAATTGCATATTTTCTAACGCAAAGACCCCCTTTTCAGGAATTTAGATTTCAACAAAATGACTCTTATTGCCTGAGTAAATTTATGCATAAGATTAGAAGAGGAGAAATGGAAGACTGTGGCACATTGAAAACCCAATTAAGTCTTGAGATCAAAAGGTTAAGGTCATAAGTCCCATTTTCCTTTTGCAAATTTAAATCCAAATTATCTCAACACGTAATTTATTGACCTTAGTGCAATTCAAATAATGTCATTCACATTGACCTTTTGGGCATTTAATTACTGATTTATTGCTGGTTTGGCCAAAACAGTCAGGAGACTGAAAGCGGAAATGTGGACAGTATGAAATGAACTGGAGGTCATTGGGGGTAATTTAACCACTGATGGAATCGGGTCAATCAGATGGCTTTAATTGTTGCACAAATTTTTCAAACAGCTCTGCTTCTATGAACGGAAGTGGACTCCAATCAGATTTAACTACTCCCAATATGTTATTATTTCAAATGGCAGGCTTTATGATATTTATCATTAGTCCTTAACCTTTGACTTTAGCTTCCCCATGAGTGGGAAGGAGGGAGGGTACATAAATAATAGCTCATTAACTGTCTTCTGGCTTCCTAGTATCTCTGGGTTTCTGTCGTTGTCAACTCCCAATATATTCAATTACCATGGTCGTCAGTAAGCAAATAATACGAATTATGAATTGTATTGAAATTTATTGAAAACATGGAATATACTGATTTCCAAGGCTTTGAAATTGTCATAAATTTAAGCAAAAATTTGAAGAAAAACACCCAGATTCTAAGAAAATCCAAATTTAATTTCCGATTGAGAAGTAAATAAAGTAATTGTATAAAATATCACAAAATATCGTAATAGACAAGACAATTTTAGAGGTCCTCTGTGTTTTTCTCCTCAAAATGTTGTAGTCGAGTGAGTTGCTCTTGAGAGTCAAGTATCTTTTGAAATTTCTCATTGGATTCGATTTCATTCTCATTGTATTCTAATGTTCGAGGAGTTGTAGTCTCCTCAGTGGCATCCATAATTTGCAGAGGAGGTGATGGAGGTGTGCATGAAGACGAGTTTTCCTTGTTTTCAACAGGCCCATCGATATGAGTGTTCTCAAGCAAAGAATTCTAAAAGCACATTAAGTGGACCTCTAAGATATATCTAAGCCACTTACCAGTAAATTTGGGTGGGCAAT